GTAACCCTTACCCTCAGAAAAGTATATGGTACCTGAAAAATGCACAGTAAATAGCGGTTAATATTGAAACACTGAAATAATTCTTTTCACATAGAAAGCATTCCTTTTTAAGATTTTATTTATTTGAGAGAGAAAGAGAGAGACATTGTGTATGTGCAAGCACGAGCAGGGAGGCCGGGCAGAGGGAGAAGGATGAGAAGGAGACTCCCCGCTGAGTAAGGAATCTGATCTCCATCCCATGACCCAGATACCAAACCTTGAGCTGAAGATACATGCTTAATAGACTGATCCACCAAGGTGCCCCAATATTCAAAGAATTCTTAGAGGAGGATGGGGCTTAAAGAAAATCATACCACTGGTAAATCTTTCCATAACAATTTTTCACAGATGAAAACGGCTTTGTTCTTTAGACAATTTAGGTGTTCATCTATCTCAAAAGAACTAGTGTTAAATCCAACAAAAATTTGCAAGAGAAAAACAATTAGCTCCAAGGGATGGAATATCTCTGAAGAACAGTATGAGGCTTAAGAAAGGAAAGTAGAAAGAGCCAATGGAATTTTGAGAGATAGCCATGGAGTAATTTCTCTATCATTTATTTACTCACTGAACAAGTAAATACTGAGCACCTACCATGTGCCAGACAGGGGGCTATAGTACCTTAACCTAAACAGACAAAAATATAAATCCAGCCCTCCCTGGGAGCAGATAAAAAGAAAAATAACCAAATTATATGTTAGCAAGCTGAAAAGTGCTATGGAGGGAAAAAAGGGGGGAGCTACAAAGCAAGGAAGTATCAGGAAGGAACAATTTTTTTTTTTCAAGTTTCAGATATTTATTAATCAGTGTAAACCCCAACACAATACAGAAACATGATTTCAGCATTTAGAAGGGAACTATTTCCTGGATAAGTGGAAAATTGTGCTGATGGCTTCTGGGACACCTTCATTCTAAGCAGCTTTATAGTGAGACACTTTTTTAAAGATTTTTTATTTACTTGTTTGAGAATGAGAGAGCAAGAACACGAGTGGGGAGAGGAGCAGATAAGTGGTGGGGAAGCCACAGAAGCAGACTCCCTGGTCAGCAGGGAGCCTGACGCAGAGCTTGATCCCAGGACTCCCAGATCATGACCTGAGCTGAAGGCAGACGCTTAAAGACTGAGCCATCTAGGTGCCCAAAACATTTAATTTAGAAATCTAGATCTTCTTTCTTCAGTTTGCTGTAATTTACATTCACTGAGTACAACTTGTATTGATCACTGAGGACCCAGTCTTTTAGAGGGTTCTGAGTTATTCTTCCTATCCCAACTGACATCTGGATTGCACAATGCCAGGGGCAAGACATACAGCGCTGCTCCAGTACCTGTTACCACAATAAATATGAAAAGGGGGACTAAATTTGGATGCTTCTTTGCCTGACTGAGGATCTGGCATAACTTAGTTGTAGCAGAGCCCTCCAGCCAAGGAGAAGTAAAAATCAAATATGCAAGGCCTGGAACTAAGTCGACCCTACCAGAAGGAGCAGTTTTTTAAATGATGGTCAGGGCAGATCTTAGGAAGTTGACAAATGAGCAAAGAACTTCAGGGAAGTGAAGGAGCCAGCCATATGAATATTTTAAAGAAAAGTTTTAGAGGGAGAAAGCCAATACAAAGACCTCGAGGCAAGAACATAACTTGTATATACAAGGAACAGCAAAGAAGTCAATGAGACTGGGGGCACACTGGCTTGATGATGTCAGAAGAAAAAGAATGGAATTTATTTATTAGTTGCCTTAGCAGATCATGTCACCTTTTTCCTCCTCACTCCAGCTCCCACATCAATCGGGTCATGTGCGCACTCCTTTTGATGCAGAGAACAAAGGCAAAAGAAATATAGAAACAGTTAAATTTCCTTACAACTTACAGCTCATTGACAATTCTTGGGACTAGCAGGGTGACCTTCCTCCAGAAACTCAACTGCCTCAATGTTAATGCTTTGCTGGGGCAAAAAGCAACCTTAGCTTGACATTATCCTGGCTTCCAGGATTCTGTAAATCCACTTTAACAGAGGAAATCTCTTTGGAAACTTCCTTTATCTCTACCCCCTAAGATATATGTTAGCAATCATCCTCCAAACATATAGCCCACTGATACACACCTGAAGGGGCTCATGATTAAGGTTTTACTAGACCGTAGTAAATGACCCCTCAAGGTCTTGGAAACCTTGATTCCAAATTCCTTAGAGACTTACACGTATCCCCATTCCCTTCCAACTTGCAAGTATATAATCAGTCACTCCTCACAACCCCAGTGCTGCTGTTTCTGCCCACAGATCCCTTCCCTGCACTGTAATAAAAACACCTTTTTGCACCATAAAATGTCTCAAGCATTCTTTATTGACCAATGGGCTCAACAATCTTGCATCAACTTAACCTGCCCTGCCTCTTCCTTCCTACCTCTGAGTAAAGCATTGAGACAATTATTGTACTGCACTGAATTGTTTCCATTCATAGCAAAAGTACCAGTACCCTCTCCAACAAATGCCCTTCCTTCACTATTTTCAAAACCTACTTCAAAAATATAACTAGAAAGTAATTCCTGATTGATTACGCTAATTAGGTGTACCCAAAGCATTTACAAGTTCATAAGTGATCATTTAAAAACAGTTTAAACATCTTACAAAGGGGGCACCTGGGTGGCTCAGTGGGTTAAGCCTCTGCCTTCGGCTCAGGTCATGATCTCAGGGTCCTGGGATCGAGTCCCGCATCGGGCTCTCTGCTCAGCAAGAAGCCTGCTTCCTCCTCTCTCTCTCTCTCTCTCTCTCTCTGCCTGCCTCTCCGTCTACTTGTGATCTCTCTCTGTCAAATAAATAAATAAAATCTTTAAAAAAAAAAAAAAAACACATCTTACAAAGGGTTGTAAAAACTTTTTTTTTTTCCTTTACAGAGATCACAAGTAGGCAGAGAGGCAGGCAGAGAGAGGAGAGGGGGAAGCAGGCTCCCTGCTGAGCAGAGAGTCCAATGTGGGGCTTGATCCCAGGACCCTGAGACTGTGACCTAAGCCAAAGGCAGAGGCTTAACCCAGAGCCACCCAGGTGCCCCTGGGTCTAAAAACTCTTAATAGCTCCTCACTGAGTACATGACAGGACAGAAAATTCTTAGTTTGATTTTTTTCAAGACTTTATATTGCTTGGACTTAAAACTCTCACTAACTAGCGTTGTGAGAACTCTTTCCAGCCAGCTCGGTCTCCCTAAACCATCATGCTTATTCCCACTTCTGCTCCCTTTTCATTTTTCTCCACCTAAAATGTTCTTTCTTCCAAGGGTTAACTCCATTTCCACTTCCTACATGAAGGCTTCTTTATCCACTTTAGCTCATAATTTTCCCCCCACCGTTTATCATTTGTCTATGTAGCTCATTTTATTTCATAGCTTATTAAAGCAAACTCAAATTTTTCCAAACCCCCCAAAACAAACACACACATTGACTCTTTCAAAATTTCTATATAAACTGGTTGCCCATAACTGGATCCTATGATCTTTGATGACTATTTTATACACCCATTTATTAACATATACAGTGGTTAATATGACGCTAAGACCCTCATAATGCCATTTGTTCATAAAATTTTGTGGATTCTACCCTACAAAATTTCTCAGTTCGACCCTTCCCTCTCCTTGTGGGCTACTGCAGGACCTTAACCTCTCTTACCTAGACTACTACAATTGATCCTTAACTAGTCTCCCTGCCCTCTCCCTTCTTCGATCCACTCCCTTCACATTTTCTTCCCCCCCCACGCCCTCCCCTCACTCCTAAGTGAAAGCAAATCCAACTCACTGTCCTGGTTAACACCTGTGGTGGCTCCAAACCCTTCAGCTTGATGATACCCTTTGCAGTGTACCCCGGTTTAATTTTGACAGATTCACCATGTTTTTCCCCTTCTTAGAAATATCCTTTAGGGACGCCTGGGTGGCTCAGTTGGTTAAGCAGCTGCCTTCGGCTCAGGTCATGATCCCGGCGTCCTGGGATCGAGTCCCACATCGGGCTCCTTGCTTGGCGGGGAGCCTGCTTCTCCCTCTGCCTCTGCCTGCCACTCTGTCTGCCTGTGCTCGCTCTCGCTTCTCTCTCTATGACAAATAAATAAATAAAATCTTAAAAAAAAAAAAGAAAAGAAATATCCTTTGGTGTTTGGCTTGTAAATGCCTCCTTCTCCTTCACGATCCAGTTTAAAAGTCATTTCCTGTCTTTAACTTTCCCTGACACCCCTGAGCAGGCCTAACTGAATTTCCACTGATGTTTTCACAACACTGTAATGGTCTTATCACCTCCTCCCGAACACAGGTCCTTTCGTCAGAGCTCTGTCTCCTTCACCTCTATTCCGTATTCCCAGAGGCAAAATCAGGATCTGGTGTAAACCACGCCGTGAACAAATATCTAGGGAATAGAATTATTAGAACTTTTTTGTTCAGTTTTTTGTTTTGTTTTGTTTTAAGACCTTCAGGAGCCTAGGGCGTAGCTGGGCGGATACTCCGCTTTCAGTAAAGCCGGCTCTTACAAAAGCCCGGCGTCTCGCCACTGAGGCACTCACCACAGAGCAGGCACTGGACAGGGTTCTGGACAGGGTTCTGGGTGGCCCTGACGGCCCTGCTGACTAACAGCTGACTCTGTGTGACCTGCTCGGGTCCTGAAGGAGCTGGGGCAGTATGACCGACCTCGCGAGTACGGTAGCACAGACTGACTGACAGACTAACCTAAAGCAGTAGCGGGTCTCAATGGACTGCCAGACGGGCCAAAAGCAGGAAGAAATGCTGGCGAGCCTCGTCATCTTCGAAGAAGTGTAGAAAGAGCGACCTAATTGCTGCAAGACGCCAAGCACGCGCTTCGAGCCTCTCCTCGCGCAGGGGAAGACGGGAAAAAGGCAGGAGGACTGGGAGCCTCGCCGAGTGCGCGTGCGCAGCAGCCTCTTTCCGCCACCCTCCACCCGCGGCCCCGCCCCCACACCCTAGGCCTGCGCGAGCTTCGCCGAGCGCGCGCGCAGGCGCGCGGCAACCCCATTTCCCCGCCCCTCACGTGGCCCCTCCCTCTCATCCTAGGACAGCGCGAGCCTCCCAGGTTGTACACGTGCGCGCAGCCGAGCCGGCCTTACAAGTCACGTGACCCACGACTCGGCGTTTCCTCCACTACAGCCTTCCTAGCTCCTACTGCCAGATTCCGGCGTTATGGCTGCCCGCATTCCCCGCGCCGCTTCTCTCTCCCCACTGTTTCCCCTTCTGTTCCTCCTGCTCCTCTCCGCTCCGCATGGCGGCAGCGGCCTGCACACCAAGGGCGCCCTTCCCCTGGATACAGTCACTTTCTACAAGGTAACGGGGGTGGGGGAATTGCGCAGGTGCTGCCTGAGCGCCCAGGGGAGCTGGCAGAAGGTGGTCTGTAGCGACGATCCCAGGGCTTCCCACCATCCTAAAGGGCCGGTGGACTCTGGCCCGGGACCATCCTGCGACCATGGGGCACACACAAGCCAGGGTCCCCGCGCACGCTTGTCTTTGCAGTATTTGTACTTCCTCTTTGGTAAAAGAGCTGCAGAAATGCAATCCAGGGAACTTGCTGCCCCTTACCCGCACCCAGTGGGGAGAAGGCGGTGCCGGGCAAGATCCAATCCTCGAGTCCCAAGTGGGAGGCCTGGAGGGCGGTGAGAGGCGGACGCGAAGTGCTCCCGGCTGTGGTGGGGCGGGGGTAGTGAGGGAGGTGGTTGGAAAGCCCGCTTCTTAACTGGCGTTTCTGCGCCCCTCCTCCCTTGGAGGGAGCAGGGAGTGCACCCTGCTTTGCAATACGCAAACAATGTCCAGAGATCCTGTGTCTTGCTGAAAAGTGCAAGCGTTAAGAATAAGGGAACTCTGTAGGGAATATCTTGGGCCTGGGAACAAAATGAATAAAATCGGGTCAAGACGTGGAAGGATTCCCCTGGGTAAGTGGACGTTGGAAATGTTGAAGGCTGAATGCAGTCCCAGCTCCCTCCTCTGGCACCTGTCTTCACCCACTGGCAGCTTTCAACTTCGCCTACGAGATGGGCAAACTAAGCACTGAGAGAGAACCCATTCGTTTTATTTTCTTAATTTGTACCCATTGCTGGGAAGTGAAACCAAAAAGTGGAATTCTAAATCTGTCTCAAGCGGTTGAACTCTTTCTATTCTCAAAAGGTTTCCTTGTCCTGGAATTGGCATCTGTGGTTTATTCAAATATTTGAAAGTGTAGGTATGGCTGATTGGTTGTCAGGCACACCCCACAGCACCCTATGCTTTTAGGGTCTTTATTGAAAAAATGACACCCCAGCCCCCAAAAGGGGGAATGGGGTAACATCACAGACCAAGCGTGACGTAGAGGGAAACTTTGCACTGTTGGTGCCTCTCAGTTTTTATTGGTATCACCCTGGACTCGTCTGTCATTACAGTAATCTTGCAGGTCTTACTGTTCAGCCTTTCCTGACCATTCCCCCTTTTGTTCCCTCAGCTCCAGCCATATAGGCCTTCTGTCCTTTGAATACTCCTAGCTCATCTCACTGACATGGGCCCTTTGCACTGGCAGTTCCTTCTGACTAGAACATTCTTTGCCCAATCTTTGAAAGGCTGGTTGCTTCTTATCATTCAGGCTTAGGCTAAATATTACTTACCTTCTCAGAGTCCTTCCTTGACTTCGTTTTCCCCTTGTCTGTTTTATCTCTCCCACACTAGAATATGAAGAACTGCCTTGTCTATTTTGTTCACTGATCATCTGCACGACCTTCTGTTACATAGAAGATACTCAATAATAATTTATTGAATGAATGAACAGATATCTTCTCCAGTCCCTTTCTAGATCCTCTTCCATCACTACTGAACAGAACGAGAGCCACCTGGTGATACATCCAGGGGCCTTGTTCTGTGCTTTTGTCTTTCAGCAAATTCCAGTGTCTTGTTTTGTTTCTTACCCTTCACCATCACTAGAAGTAAGAGACCCTGCCTGCTTTTTTTTACTGCTGTGTTCATGTAGAGTGGTGTCTAGCTCATGATAGGTACCTTTTTATTCAATGAATGAATGAATGATGAAATCATCTTCATCTTGAGAAAGCAAGTTACCTAAATATAGTTGATTCCTTAAGTATAAAGAAAGGAAACAGATTTCTAAAGCGATTAAGAGGTACAGGCTAATTAATGAAAAGGAAAAAATCCACTGTGCAGATGGTGTGCCATTCAAAACCATTCTGCTGATGGCCTGTAATGGCAGAATAAAAGATGGAGGCCTCTCAGTTCTGTTTCAGGGTTAGACCACCATATAATTATTAATTATTCCATAATACAAATGTAGGCTCTTTGAGGATAGGGTTCCTGTGTTGTACTTTTAAAATATTTTCCCCCAGACATATGTAGCATCTGCTGCCATAGCCTACCCTAGTTGTGTTCGTCTATCAAGTATTTTCAGAGCATCTGCTACATGCCAGGCACTCTTGGGTAATAGGGATAGAGCGGACAACAAGTCAGACCAGGTCCTTGTACTCATAGTGTATGTTCTAGTGGAGAGGACAGAAAACAAATACGCAGATAAAAATTTTAGTGAGTGATTATTGCTGTGAAGAAAGCACAGGAGGGTAATGTGATAGAGGAGGGCGAAATAAAGGAGTGCTAGGATGGTATGAGTGGAGGATGCCTCTCCATTGTGGGTGGGGGGACATTCAAACTGAGCTTTGAATGATTGACATCCATGGAAGGAGCTGGGGCAAGTGTATTCCAGCCAACAGAGACAGCAAATGAAAAGGCCCTAAGTGGAAATGAGTTTGTGGAACTGAAATAAGGACAGTCAGGGCAGAGGGATGTGATCTGGTTTATATTTTAAGTCTTACCTGTGGGGCACCTGGGTGGCTCAGTCAGTTAAGCGTCTGCCTTTGGCTCAGGTCACGATCCTGAGGTCCTGGGATCCAGCCCCACATAGGGCTTTCTGCTCAGCGGGGAGCCTGCTTCTCCCTCGCCGCACCCCCCCCCCAGTCGTGTTCTCCCTCTCTCTTTCTCAAATAAATAAAACCTTTATTTTAGAGATAAATTAGATAAAAAGCACAAATGGGGGAGCGGGAGAGGGAAAAGCAGGCTCCCTGCTGAGTAGGTTCCTGATGTGGGGCTCAATCCCAGCTCAGATCATGACCTGAACTGAAGGCAGATGCTTAACTAACTGAGCCACCCAGATGCCCCGATAAATAAAATCTTAAAAAAAAAAAATTCTTACCTGCTTTTAGGCCCCCAGAGCTCAGATTTTGGGGGTCAGTGATCACTTAAAAGATTACCTGTCCTGGGGTGCCTGGGTGGCTCAGTGGGTGGCTCTTTCTTCAGCTCAGGTCATGATCCCAGGGTCCTGGGATCGAGCCCAGTGTTGGGCTCTCTGCTCAGCAGGGAGCCTGCTTCCCCCTCTCTCTCTGCCTGCCTCTCTGCCTCTCTGCCTACCTGTGATCTCTGTCAAATAAATAAGTAAATAAAATCTTTAAAAAAAAAAAAAAATTGCTTGTCCTGATAGCTTCTCCTCCTTTCCTTGTGTCCCTAGACAGTGTTAAATATTTTTTAAAAGCTAAAACCCAATAGACATCAACGCACAGTGAGCAACAAAGACTAACAAAAACTGGAATGATGTCAGCTTGACTTAATTATGATAGTGATTGCCTATGATGAAAAATGGGCAAGAAGTGATCACTTTGATTAGAAAAGCAAAAAGTTGGGGTGCCTGGGTGGCTCAGGGGGTTAAAGCCTCTGCCTTCGGCTAGGGTCATGATCCCAGGGTCCTGGGATCGAGCCCCACATCGGGTTCTCTGCTCAGCAGGGAGCCTGCTTCCCTTCCTCTCTGTCTGCCTGCCTCTCTGCCTACTTGTGATCTCTGTCTGTCAAATAAATAAATAAAATCTTAAAAAAAAAAAAAGCAAAAAGTTATAGGAGAAGAGGGCAGTTGTTAGACTAAAGCTGTGCATTGGGAGAAACCATCAAAACAAAGATCTTGGGGAGTCCTCTAAAACTTAATCATAGAATTACTATACAACCCAGCATTTCCACTCCTAGGTTTATACCCAAAAGAAATGAAAACAGGCGTGCAAACATTTGTAGGCAAATGTTTGTAACAGTGCTATTTACAAATAGCCAAAAGGTGGGATCAGCCCAAATGTCCCATCACATGATGAACAAATAAATAAAATGTGGCATATCCATATAGTGGAATATTATTTGCCTACAAAAAGGAATGAAATACTGAGACATGCTACAGCATGGGTGAATCTTGAACGCGTGATCCTGAGTGAAAGAAGCGAGGTACCAAAGGCTACATATTGTAGGATTCCATCAGAGTAGACATCATAGAGACAAAAAGCAGATAAGTGATTGCCAGGGGCTGGGGAGGGAAGGAAGAATGGGAAGTGACTGCTTAAAATGTGTATGGATATGTGATTCTTTTTCAGGGTATGAAAATGTTCTGGAATCGGTATTAATGATCATTGCACAGTATTATTAATGGACTAAATTTCACTGTATTGTACACTTTAAAATGGTAAATGTTGTGTGATGAGGATTTTACCACAATTGAAATAAAGGTCTTGACTTTGACAGTTTGGGACCTGGAGACCTAGACAAAGGGAGCGGTGGTCAGGGAGGGGACGTTGTCCTAAGTCTGCCTCTCAGCAACTTTCTGTGAACCCTGAAACTGCAGAGTTGAACCTCTTGGCTCCCTAGCCAAAACACCTCCATGGGTGCCAACCTCTTTACAGATGGTTGGTTGGTTGGTTTTTGTCAGATTTCTGGTTCATTGTTTACTGAGAAAGGCCCTCTGGGATGATGGGCATGCCATGGGGCCAATGTAGTGTTTTCTGAGGGTTCCCTTAATCTTACTGGAAGAGAAGGCCTTAATACGTCTGCAGCTTTGTTTATTCTAAGCAGGGTTGTAAATGTCTTTGATTATTGTGAACCAGTACCTAATGGGGTACCCAATACCAATAAAATGTTAAATGATTCAGTGGGTCAATGAATGAATGAATGAGTATTAGTGTGTGAGCACTTACCTCCCTTGCAGGCATGGTTTCCACTCTGTTTCTTAAACAGGGGTCCCTTGTGAAAGGGAATTAGCCCCAAAGGTCCCTGGAATCCTGGACTTGCTCAGCTCTCTATGCCCTCAGGTCATTCCCAAAAGCAAGTTCGTCTTGGTGAAGTTCGACACCCAGTACCCCTACGGTGAGAAACAGGATGAGTTCAAGCGTCTGGCTGAAAACTCGGCCTCCAGCGATGATCTTTTGGTGGCAGAGGTGGGGATCTCAGGTATGGACAAGTCCAAACCCGACTGTGGAGGGCAGAAGGGGAGGAAGCTAGGAATCATTTCCCTCCTTGTAGGTGGGATACCCAACACCGTTCTGTCTAAGCCACGCAGGAGTGTAAGTGAAGTCATGGCCTCCTGGTGACAGGCTTAGCTTGAGCAGATCTGATACCACAGAACCTCAGTTCATCCTTGCAGGTGCCCAAGGGAAAGGGATCCCCCATCCTTCACCCTCCACCCCACACTAACATGAAACTTACTGTGAGAATCTGGAGCTCTCCTTGCAGGGGACTGTGGTCAGAGGAGGAGGTATTACGGTTCCTAGGGTCCCCATAGTCACATCTCCACCTTCTTTTCAGCTGTTTTTTATGAAAACGATTGGATTGTGGCTTTAACTCAAATCCGTCAGAGCTACCACTAAATCAAGGACTGTTCTCAACTGCAGTGACCACTCTAATAATGATAGTTGCCAACACGTGGTGGTTGACAGTGCACTTTACTTCTTCCCTTGAACGCTGCCTAAAACGTGAGGCACACGTTCTCCGTGTTTATACTTGAGGAAAACTGAAGCTCAAGGAACTAAGCGGCCCACCCAGAACGCCACCTCAGTATTTATTCTCAAGTCCATTGGGTTCTTCCCTCTCTCCGCTTCCTTCCAGCAGGGATGCCCCGGTTCCCTGGCTAGCTTGAGAGTCTGATCCTGGGCAGAGATAGTTCCCACACTTTTCCAGGGCAGTCAGTCAGTTCTGACTCAGCCGCACATCCACTCCCTTGGGCATTTTTAGAAAAAGAAGAATAGCCGCTGACATTATCAAACATGTACCGTGGGCCAGGCAACTGTGCCAAGTGTTATCCATGTGTCTTATCCTTGTGACAACTCTAGGAAGAAAGTACTATGACCCCTGTGCTTCATGCTGAGAGTACCTTGCTCAAGACCGTACAGTCTGAAGTGGTAGAATGAGGATTTGAGCCTACACTTCTATACTACTATCCTGTAATAGGCGGCCTTGGCCCTTACTTTTTGGCCGGGTATAAGAAACCTGCTGTCACAGCATTAGTCCTTGGAACTGCTACTGGTTGTTAGGAAGTACATAGCAAATGCCACATATTGCACTGAACTCGCCAGGTCAAGTGCACTTATCTCCTCACGGGGTCCTCCTAAACACCTCACATGTGGTAGAGATGCTGCCTGTTACTTACCACATGTTGCCCTTGCTCACTAAGCTCCAGCCAGAACGGCCTTTGCAAGCCTTCAGTCCCCCCAGCTTATTCCTGCCTCAGAGCTTTGGCTCTTTCAGTCCTTCCTACCTGAGACATTCTTCCCAGATTATCACGTGTCTGGCTCCTTGAAACTTCCAATCCTTGAGCTCATGTCATCTCCACAGAAAGGCCTTCCATGACCACCCAGAGTAGGCCTTCTTACCTACTGTCACATCACTCCATTTTATTTTTATCTTTTTGTTACTAATCAGGTATGTTTGTTTACCATCTCTCTTCTTACCCTTAAAAGAATATAAGCTCCTTGAGGTCAGAGAAGTTGTAAACTCTTAATCATAACTAGATCTGTAGTACTCAGAACAGAACCTGGCACGTAGTGGACTAGAATAAACATTCAGAAGAGTTCCCATTTTTCATATGAGGAAAGTGAAGTTCCGAGAGGTTAAATGACCTGATAATGCCACATGTCTGGGAAGCAGCAGAAGAGGGATGTCTACACAACCAGAATCCTTGCTGTCAGCTCAGATAGGCCTCACAGCCATCTCCTGCCCTGCATTCCTCGTGGTCTTGCTCCTCATACCTGATTTCTGTTCACAGATTATGGTGATAAGCTGAATATGGAGCTGAGTGAGAAATACAAGCTGGACAAAGAGAACTACCCGGTCTTCTACCTCTTTCGGGATGGGGACTTTGAGAACCCAGTCCTGTATAGTGGGGCTGTGAAGGTTGGAGCCATCCAGCGCTGGCTGAAGGGGCAAGGAGTCTACCTAGGTATGCCTGGTTGCCTGCCTACTTATGATGCCCTTGCTGGGGAGTTCATCAGGGCCTCAGGCGTGGAGGCCCGCCGGGCCCTCTTGAAGCAGGGGCAGGACAACCTTGCAAATGTGAAGGAGACTGAGAAGAAGTGGGCTGAGCAGTACCTGAAGATCATGGGGAAGGTCTTAGACCAAGGTGAGGACTTCCCAGCGTCAGAAATGACCCGGATCACCAAGCTGATTGAGAAGAACAAGATGAGTGATGGGAAGAAGGAAGAGCTCCAGAAGAGCTTAAACATCTTGACTGCTTTCCAGAAGAAGGGGGCCGAAAAGGAGGAGCTGTAAAAAGGCACTCCGGGTTTTTCAGGGGTTGGTGGGGGTGGGGAGGGGAGAGTTACCTGCCGGCTGAGAGACCTGGGATATAAGAGTGGTGGTTAAAGTGGTACTAAGCCAGAGATCTGAGCATGCCCAGACACTGAAGCTGATATGACCGTGCTTGGGACATACCTATAGCCAGTCTTTGTATAACCAGAGCACTTACCAGATGGCTTGTGAAATTCCCCCTCAGAAGGAGTTGGTGCTATAAAGAGAAGTGTACTGCCCAGGTCCTTGACAGGTGTTATTCTGACCCAATTAAAGTTTCTGTGTTTTGGTTAAAAGGACCTGAAGCCATTCAGTTTTCTTTCACGAATTATACTTTGGCCTGTGACCTGCTTTCGCCTTTGAATTTATTTTTTAATCTGAGCTGGTATGGACTCCACTCTACCAGGGTAATTGACTATCCTTGTAACACTGTAGAAACTGGTCCCAGCTCAAGGTCTGCCTTTATTACTTTCCACTGGTGTTCAAACTCCAGTGGACTGATTGTGGGTGGCAAAATGCATTGTCCTTTTTCTGGTCCTTAAAAGTGGAATGGCAGCATTTTTTTTTTAAGATTTTATTTATTTATTTGACAGCACAAACAGGGAGCAACAGGCAGAGAGGGAGAAGCAGGCTACCCGCTGAGCAGGGAGCCCAATGTGGGGCTCAGTCCCAGGACCCCAGGATCACAACCTGAGCCAAGGCAGACACCTATGTGATTGAGCCACCCAGGCACCTGTGGAATGGCAACATTAAGGGAGCTCAATGTAATCATTTTCCATACTCCATAAAAAAACATAGAGTAGGGGTACCTGGGTGGCTCAGTTGGTTAAGTGGCTGCCTTCGGCTCAGGTCATGATTCCAGGGTCTTGGGATGGAGCCCCGCATTGGGCTCCCTGCTCAGCAGAGAGCCTGATTCTCTCTCTCCCTCTGCCTGCTGCTCTGCTTACTTGTGCTATCTCTCTGTCAAATAAATAAAATCTCTTAAAAAAAAGAAAAATACATAGAGCAAATTCTTAGTTTTATTGATAAAATCAGATTTTTTTTTTTTTTAGTTGGATTTAGATAGCTAAATGATACAATTTGGTCTGATTTGAAAGGTTTTTTAAAAAGGGATTGTTTTCCATCTAAGCTACTTTGCCACTGTCAGTAAATACCAATATTAAAGAAGCAGAGTGGGAGACCGTTGTACTAACTGAAATCTGTTTTCAGGAGCGATGGGCAATTACCTGTAATGATAAGGTTCTTGATAACCTTCACTTTTCATATTTAAGAACTTGGAAATACCAAAGTGCAGCTTCAGAAATATTTATTATTACAGCCACAAAAAGAAACTGTAGTTGAACAGAGTTAGCAAGTCAAACCTTAACTTGTGTTCCTCCATTTCAGCCAGATTGGTAAATTCACTGAAAACAAAAACAATTGTGGTAGCTTAGGCTCACAGTTCAACTAAGTAAAAGGTTCAGGGGCACCTGGGTATGTCAGTAGGTTGAGCGTCTGACTCTGGATTTCAGCTCAGGTCATGATCTCAGGGTCATGGGATGGAGCCCCGTGTTGGGTTCTGTGCTCAGGGTGGAGTCTGCTTTGAGATTCTCTCTCTCTCTGCCTCTTCCCCCGCCAATAGATAAAAAAAAAATTAAAAAAAAAAAAAAAAAAAAAAAAGATGTTCAGACCTAAACTCCTGCCGGTAACCAGCATAAGTACTCTCAACATTTAAGAAAAGGATGTAACTGTATATATTTATTTCCCCTACTCATTATGAAAAATTTGGAAGATCTTTCTGGATGCTTCTCACTGATACACTTGCTTTAGCTGTTGTAGTTTTTTCTCATCTGTATAAAACAGATTCACTTCCAAAGAACTAAGCATTCACTGTCGTAATGGGAAATACAGTAAGACAAATGGCAAGTAGGGAAAGAACTCTTCAAACTACGTGCATCCACAGTCCCTTAATGTGATCCTGTCAGCTGGGAAAGAAATGGTGGCAGCACATCAGTGGGTACTTAATTGGATGAGTCCAGGCCGATTATTATTATTTATAAGCCTAGGGTCTTGAAGAGCCATTGGGCAGGGCTAGAGTATCCTATCAGAGGCTCTTCATAGCAAGTATTTTTCATTAAAGATGGGCCCTCTAAACTCTAGAGTCTGAAGTGGTTTGCATAAGCCACATAAAATTAAATCTTCCCTGACACTTAGGTTAAATAGATTCCTTCCCTCTTCTTCCTCTAATTAAATAATACTGTGGCTCAGGTGCTGCTAATCAGACTATGAGGAAGGCTATGGACTGGCTTCCCAGAATCAAACAAATACAGTTTCTAGGGAATCTGTAGATAACCCAAAGCAAATGAGACCCTGGATCCAAGATGAAGAACCTCATTCTGAGGAACTTCTAAGTTACCTAAAATAATCCTTAGCAATTGGTGCCACCAAAAAAAGTTGCATCAGAATTAATTCAGGAAAGATTGATTGTCAATAAATAAGGCAGAGACTGGGAACATGAATATAGTCATCAAGACTACTAAGAATGTGAGATGGTGAGTTGGGGGTGGTCTAGATTTCAACTCGCTTCATCAATGCTTTAGAGTTTGAATCTTCCCTAATCCTTACCTTGCTAGGTAGTCTTAGGTGATAGCCTTACCTTCAGTAACTCCTTTTCTCATATGTGAAATAGTACCTTGTCAGGGACCCACTTTTACTGGGATATGTGGAAGCTGGAGGTTGCAAGAGAGTGCTGTGCTTCTGTGTATAAACTGGTAAATAGGTACCCCATAATTTTTATAAGCATTTGGCTAATGGTTGCTTACCCTTCTACTTGTTACTATGAAATACATATCTGCATCAAGGCAGTGACAGCATCCAAAAATGGAACAGAGTATAAACCTGAAGATTTTGAGGAAGATTAAAAATGGCATTTGAGCTGCCGACTCTTGGTTTTGGCACAGGTTGTGATCTCGGGGTCGAGATCGAGCCCCACATCAGGCTCACGCTCGGCAGGGAGTCAACTTGGGATTCTCTCTCCCTCCCTGTTTCTCCTCTGTGCACATGCACACACACACACTGTAATAAATCTTAAAAAAAAAAAAAAAAAAAGGTATTGAGGTATATCAAAGTACCCATCTTTTGTTAACGGAAAAAGAATGATGGGATGGAGTCCCAGGCAGAAACCGACTTCTCAGGGCCCATACAAAGGCATTTAATAGTATAGGACAGAAGGGAAACTAGGAGCTCCTCCTTCCACCGTATTGTCAGTGTGTGATCTCAGCCTGTGGATCTGAGTACTCTTGGGTTAATCATATCATCAGTCTGCCTGAAATCCTCCAGCAACTTCCCACTACATTTAGAAAGCTCCTTCCTTCCCCGTCTATAAAGTCCTGATTGCGCGCGCGCTCTCTCTCTCTCTCTTTCTCTCTCTCTCTCTCTCTCACACACACACACACACAGAGCCATTTACTTCCCCCTTTCCACTCCTTTAAGCCCAGACACTTGAGCCCTTTTTTGTCAGTCACTGGAACATGCCCAGTAGTTCCTACCGTGAGGCCTCTGCACTTGGGTTCCTTTCTCAGTTGCTGACGATCAGGTCAGATGACACTGCTTGTGGACCCTGGTTATCATGCACCCTAAAACGGACTTACAAACTAATGTTTATTTTTGCTCTCTCTTCCCACACCTGGGCCACTAACTAGGATGTGTGCTCTTATTTACTACAGAGTCTAAAGTGTAAAGAAGCATCCAATGCATGTATGTTGAATTCATGAATGCTAGCATGTGAGGTACTACTTTTTTTTTTTTTTTTTGAGGTACTACTTTTAAAAAGACTAGTCCCTGGGGCTAATAATACATTATATGTTTATAAAAAAAAATTTTTTTTTAAAAAGGGTAAAAAAAAAAAAAAAAGACTAGTGGCCTTGGGATAAAACTTTTAAATTCATAAATACTACAATTTTGCCAAGGAATATAACACTCAGTACAAAATCGAGATGAATTACCTCATTTAAAAGGTGTGGCTTCTATGAATCCAAACAGAAATGACCCAGGCAGAAATTCCAACTTAAAATGGAAGAGTTTATGTAAATCAACCCATCTAGGGGCGCCTGGTTGGCTCAGTGGCTCAGATTAAGCCTCTGCCTTCAGCTCAGGTCATGATCTCAGGGTCCTGGGATCGAGCCCCACATCAGGCTCTCTGCTCAGCGGGGAGCCTGCTTCCCCCCTCTCTCTGCCTGTCTCTCTGCCTGCTTGTGATCTCTGTCTGTCAAATAAATAAATTTTAAAAATCTAAAAAAAAAAATAAAAACCCATCTAATTTAATTGGCTACGTACGTTTCACTAAGTTCTGAAGGAAGAATATATATACTTCCCATATTAATAAATGATATCAAATAAGTAGGAAGAGTTTCAATAACAAGGCCATAGATACATTGAAACCCCTTTTTATATTAAAAGTTTAAATGAAAGACAAATCCAGGTTGAACATAGTGATTGCAAAATATAATGCAATTTTGAACAATTAAAATTATGAAAATATACAAAATTGATGGGCAACACAGCTAGGTATTTGTACATTTTCCATTATGTGAAGAACACTAAAAATTTCTATATGCTTTTATCCACATCAGATAAATGATTTAAACCAAATGTTTGCTTTGGAGAATCTTAACTTAGGATCTCAGTAGTATAAAAAGCAGTAATTTTTCAGTCTGTAAACAGTAGTCGTGTTTTTCTTTCTTTTTTTTTTTTTAAATATCAATTTACCACACAAAAACAAACACAACAACAACAACAAAAAAAAAACCCACACAAACCAAAAACAGCAGCAGCAGCAATGGGTTATTTGGGAATTCTCTTCAAATACCAATGACATACAATTGCTGGAGGGTGCTTTTTACTCATGTAAATATATATATATATATATATATATATATATATATATATACATATATGTGTATATATATATATGTATTATTTTAAACTGTACACAATTTATAGTGCATAACAGTTTCCAAAAGAACAGATCAATAAAAGATATTGGGCATCTCTGCATAATTTCATTCTTTTTACAATTATCCCAAAATGTAAGAGGTTGGATCTAATTGAAATGCTACATTTAGTAGGAAAGTCAGCAAGTAACAAAGGAAGCATAACCTCGTCCTAACATTATTTGTCACTAAAACCAGGAGAGGTCCTGGGTGTCCCTAGGCAAAAGACTAGTTAGGTAGACCACTGGAGTCAAGCACTGTCCCTGAGGACCAAAGCCAGCTCACTGAGCACACATATGCTAGATTGACCATGGTCAGCTGAAGACTTGTTTCATAGAGCATTTCTATGTACAATATTTTTGGATATTCAAAGAAA